ATAAATAAAATCTTTAAATATATATATAATTTATTTAAACTATATATATTAGACATAGATTATAACATTGATTCATTAACAACCTAGATTGCTTTTCAACCCACTTGTATAGAGTGCCTGCTTCTACCCCTACTTTCTTTCAGTGGTGAATGAACAGGCTTTGGGCCAAATAACTAAGTTCTCGGTTTTGTTCAGAAGGGCTGTAATAACAGGTTGTGGGTAGGGTTACAAGAGTTTCTACAGTGGGTGCAATGCAATCTGAAAAATTAAGACATATATTTCATAGATGCCTTCCCTAGGGCATCAAAAGGGAAGGGTAGAGAAATGTTTAACCTACACTTGTAACATTTGGCTGGAGGTCATAAATAGTAAATTGGTATATTTTTATAGCTACTGCTCCTTTTCCTTTCTTTCTGCACCCCCTGATCCCCTCCAAAAAAAAATGAAGGTACGTACTATTTTGTAATGAAAAGTATACTCTAGTCTAAGGAGTTAATAGTGCCGGGTTTGAAATCCATCTTTCTTACTAGTTAGCCATCAAGTCTGTCCAATCACTGAGCCTCTGTTTCTCCCTCTGTAAAATCAGAGAGTTGGGTTAGATGACCTCAAGAGTACCAAACAGCTTTAAGATTCTCTAATTTCACGTAGCCTAAGTTTTTCCCCATTTGGACATATAAGAATAACTTGTAAATTAGCAAACATATTTGATAATTTTAAGGGGGCAGATCATGGGCATAAATAAAATTAATATAAGCAAACATGCAAAATACTGTATGCCCCTGGGTCTGGGTTCCTAAGTAAGTCCCTCAAAGTCAGATGCCAAGTTTTTAGCTAGGCTTTGCAGAGAATATCCATTCATTCCAACCATTGTGATAGGGAAAAGTGACTGCCCAACAGACCCTGATGAGATACCCAGATCACCAGATAACGTTCTGTTTTTTTAAATTGTATCAATATTATATAGCAAATCATAAAAATTTAAGCATTAGTGGGCATGCAGTAAGTACACATTGTCAAGTCAACTTGGAAGAAATAGTACTCAACCAAGGGATATCTAATGAATTTCCCTGGCTGGTGCTAGTTAACCAACCTGCATCAAACCAACAGAGAATAGTAATGAAGGGAATGGCTAATTTTTCCCATACCTAGGACAAATGACTATCCTGGGAATTTATGTCAAAGTTGAAAGTACGCATTTCAGCCCATCTAAAATGCTCTCAGACTAACCATTTACTAGCCAAAGTCCATTTTTAGACATTGCTACCTGCAGCCCGTTTGAATCTTCACACTGTCACGTCTGGAAGGCTCTCAATCCTGCCTGTGCCTAATTGATTTTAGGGGCAAAATACTGTGTCAGCAGTGAGAGCAAAAGCTCACAGAGGCTGAAACCACAAACATGTTTCCTATGGTTTGTGGAACATTCTTCTTCTCTTGATAATAATATGTAATGTTGCTCCGTTGTTGACAGCAGCCTGTGAGAAACTGAATAGGGAAGTGTTCAGTTTGTGTTTTTCATTAATACTTAAAAATACTGAGGTAGGAAGAGAGGTAGCGGAAGGGACATTAAACTCCCCCCCGCCCCGAAGTTAGCATAGAAAAGGTTATGTATTAAAAGCCTTGTTCCTATCTAGCCTGTTTATTGTTTAATTCAAGGTCTGCATTTTATTTTCAGTACATTGATTGGAATCAAAGAGTAAAGAGTCAAAAGGGAGTGTCATAAATAGAGACCAGGGCTTGTTCAGCTTGAATACCAACACAAACTATTTCTAGACAGCATGCTGCTGCAGCTGTGTGACTTAAACAAAATAAAAACACACACACAGTGGAGGAAGATGTGCCCAGCAGCATTCTGGCCTAGAAGATATGCCCAAAGTGGAATAAGTTTTGTTTAAGATGAAGGAAGTTAGCAAAGAGTGCAGTACAGTGACTTGTAACCTTCAATGTTATCTGTGTAGGAGAGCGAAAGGGCAGCAGAACTAAAATCTTTCCACTTCTTTTGTCTTCCAAAGATGCATAAGAATGCAGAGGAGATTGTAGCTACAGAAGTGCTTGAATTTGGTCAAATTTGTGAATTAAGAGGACATTTTATTATGCAGCCTGTGAATCCTCATTTTCCCTAATGAAGGGCAGGATTGCTCAGCCCCAGCTCTTGAAGGAAGCCTCAGACTCCCATAAAGCGCAGAGCTGCCAGCCCAGGCGGGCAAATTGTAATCCCCGGCTAATGTTCTAGGCAACTTGCCTGTTTCCAGCCTGTTTGCACTCTAACCCCTCACCACCCATCACTTGGCAAACACACAGCCAAGTTTTTCTCTTTAGTTCTTAAGAGATTTCAGTGATTCCATCCATGTTGTACATTTTGTGCCCCCTTATGTCATGGTTTATATCATATCTGTATGTACCCTTTACCTCCACTAGAGCCCTGGAAAGAGTGGTAGTTTCTGTAGTAATTAGCTCAGTAGTTACCAGAGGGAGACACAACACGGAAGAATCCTCTTGGAAATCTCAACCATAACTAAAAGGTATGGAAATTTAAAGGGGCTGTGTTAGTAATCTTGAGGGAATGTGGTATTTTTTATATCATATTGAAGGAAGTGCAGCTCTATGTATACCAGATGTAAATGTCTTTATTTATAGTTGAGGAATACTTTGTTGTATTATAGCTTCTCAGAAAGTGTGCAGAATGTCTAGAGAGATTGGAGGGTATCACTGTAAAAGGAAAGCAGGAAGTATAATCTGATAGGGTTGAAAGGAAACTAAACCTAAAGAAAAAGAGAAGAAGATTATATGGAGGAAGAAGAAAAAACAAAGCCTTTGTGGGCCTTTCTTCACAAAGAGATAAATCTGTCCTTGATAAAAAAAGAAACAGTACCCTTTGGTCTTGGAACATTTATGAGGCATTGTGAAGGAATGCCTTACTTAAAAGATACATTTCTCTTAAAAGGAGAAGCTACTTTACTCTTTGTCAAGAAAACATACATGAAATTCACCCACCTGAAAGTGTGAATTTTCAGGCCCTCTGGACAAAGAAAGGATATAGATGCTGTATGTATTCCTTCTGCATGTCACAAAATTAGGAGTGATATGGAACTTTATCTGGATGTTTTCTAAAATTTTCATTCAACTAAAATAGACTATTTTGGTAAGTTCTTTTCCTTTTCTTGATAGCCTCCTGTCCCAGAGTACAGAGGAAGAAAAGAGAACTATTCTGACCTTAATTCTAATTAACAATGAGGATTTGGTTGGGAGAGTGGAAGTGGGAGTCCCATGTCGGTGGGGGGAGAGGGGAGGCAACCTGGTAAACTGTTTTACTCTACATCAGTAGTTACCACTACTCTCTCAGGATATTATACTTCCCTGCCCCATCAACGTGAGTTTAGTGACTTGTATTGGCCAAGGAATTGTGAGCAAATGTGACCTACATACATTACTCTTGGACAGGTGTTTTTAGTACAAGGCAGGTAGAAAAAAAGAGCATTCCATCTGCTAGATCAGCAATACCTCATAAAGTGGTTTGTTGTTTTTTTTTTTAATCAGCTTCAAGCCAGGATGGACATGTAGGATAAGTTTTAAAAAGCCAACTCATTGTTGTAAAGCAGTGGTTCTCAATCAGGTATTACTTTAAGTCATCACCCCCCCACTGGCAGGCGGGCAGGTTGAGGCCTCAACTTCAAAACCTTGGAAATGATAGATTTTGGATATACTTGTCCCTTCTTAATAGAGCTACACAAAGATGGAATGCTATATTTTGGGGGTAGTAGTTCTCAGTCTTTAAATATTTTCAAGCAAAGGCCAGAGAGCTACTTGGTGTCTATTCTTTTCTAATCCTGATTGCCTGTAATTCTAAATTTAAAACTCTGGATTAAGGTTAAGAACAAATTTTCGATCAGGTCTCTCTCAACTTCTAGTGTATGTTAGCCATGTCTAAAAGCAAGATACTAAGAAATAAAGATGCCAGTCCTTCAATGGCCATAAAAACTCCCTTGAAACTTCTCCTTTCTCTGAGAATAGGAGCAGGGTCCTGGTTGGAGTCCAACTCTATTAATTGTATGGCCTGTGAGAATTTCCTCTCAAGGCTGTCTTGTACACCTCTGCAAAGCTGTGTGTTTCATTACCTGTCCTCACATCTGAGTCACCAAATCCACATTCTGAATTACCTGCTTGGTTGTTGTAGTTCCCCCAAATTCACAGAATAATTACTAAGATGTGGTCAACGAGCAGTGGCAGTCTGACAAAATCTGTATGTTTACTTCTCACCAGCTGATTAAGTGGTAGGAAATTTAGTAAAAGTAGAAGCCATTAGTGAATTTCTGTTCTCTCACTCTAATTCACTCCAAATCATACCTGATGTTCTCTCTTTTAATGATAATAATGAAGATGAGGCATACAGTATTTGGGGAACATTCTTGTATTATTCTTTATTCTCAATTATTTGTAAAAGGTATCTCAGTCAAAAGTTCTGAAATCAAAACAGGTCATGGCTTAATAGTAAAGTGAGGCAGAGTTTAAGAAAAGAGTTTATAATATAATGTGACTTTTAAAGATTAAATGTGAGGGGCGCCTGCCTGGCTCAGTCAGTAGAATGTGCAATTGGTTTTTGTTTTTGTTTTTTAAGATTTATTTATTTATTTGAGAGAGAGAGAGCATGCACCCGCTTAGGCATGCCCACAATTGAGGAGAGGGGCAGAGGGTGAGAATCTCAAGCAGACTTCCACCCATTGCACAGCTGGAGGCGGGGCTTGATCTCACAACCCATGAGATCATGACCTGAGCCAAAATGCGGAGTTGGTTGCTTAACCAGCTGCACTACCCAGGCACCCCAGAATGTGCAACTCTTGATCTTGGGGTCATGAGTTCGAGCCCCACGTTGGATGTAGTGCTTACTTAAATTTTTTTTTTTTTTTTTTTTAAAGATTTTATTTATTTGAGAGAG